ACTCATAAAGATTTACAGTCTCACAGTGACCCTATAAGAATGTAAATCTTTATGGGGGCAGACAGACTCACCTTTCTCCTGTGGAGTAGTTGGTGGGTTTGAACCACTGCCTTTGCAGTTAAGCACCACCAGGGCTCCTTCATATTCAGACAAAAGATACAAATAAATTCCAGTGAAAAAAGAATGAGAAGAATGCCTGGCAGGAGATCATCTCCAGATGACTTCTGCTGTTAAAGTGCCATCTGACTCATAGTAACCCTGTACAGGGTTTCCAAGGAGCAACTGGTAAGCTTAAACTGCCGACTTTGCAGTTCAAACGACCTTTCAGTCCAGTGCCACACTAGAACTCCCTAGATGGCATTAATGGTTAGTAAAGGAATAAAGGAGGCACCCTGGTAGCGTAGTGGGTTATGTGCTGGGCTACTAACTAGTTGTTCAAAGCAACTAGAAGCTTCTCGGGAGAAAGATGAGGCTTTCTGCTACCGTAAAGATTTACAGCCTCGGGAACCCTACCCAAGCTCGCTATGAGTTGAGAACAACTTAACAGCACACAACAACAAAGGAAAAAAGATTAGGACTCAAGGTTGCTGTTCAACCTTTGGGGGAATATACCAGGGACCACTGTTGTTTTTTGTTTTGTTATTTCAACCTTCTGGAATTTGAGAACTGTTTTACAATAAAAAGTAAAACAACCACCCCGTCTATGAAAACAAATTCAGCTCTACTGCGATAATAAAGTTCTCTGTAAAAATTAAGTATCTCCAATAGTGAATAATTGTTATCAGGACTGCTTGTGAGGGTTGGAAATGTAAAGGTAGATGTTTTGTAGCAAGGAAGGGGAGTGATTGACTTTGCAGTCCAGGAGAGGAGGTCTCTGGGACCATCAAGGGAGAAGAGTGGAGAGCAGGACCCTACCCAGAGAAGCAGTGATGCCTGAGATGGAGGCAGAGACAATGACGTGGAGAGATGGAGCAGCTGGGGAATTTAGACCCAGAGAGGGAGAGGGGCTGTGTGCTGATGATGGGGGGTGGGGGAGCGGAGGGGCCAGGCTTGTAGGATATACCCTTTGTTTGGTTGATGATGCATGGAGGGGATTGTAACCATGGCAATGGATATACCATAGGATGAATGTAAAACTAATGTTCTCCCATGGAAACTATCACATAATTCACAATAAAACATTTTAAAAAGAGATGATCCTCAGACTATCAAGAAGGAAAAGCATGAGTAGAGTGTGAGATCCCTACCTAAAAAAGTAGCGACAGCTGAGACGGTGGAATTTGTGGTGACATGGAGAGATAGGGCAACTGTGGGCTCTAGGCTCATGGACTCAGTACGGCTGTGTGCCTGGGGGCAGGAGGCTGGATTGCAGAATATGCCCCTTGAACATGTAAATGACTATACTTTTTCATTTCCTACACATACATCACATATTTTGCTTTGTTCATTTGCGAAATAAAATGTAAATGGGGATCCACAGGGAGGAAGTCAGATAAATGGTGTTGCAGGGAGGAATGATAATCATTAAGATGAAACAATTTGTTGAATGTAAAGCTGATGACCTTGTCTGTAAACCTTCATTCAATTCACAATAAACAGTTAAAAAACAACAATCAACAATAACAACAAAATGAAGTATCTCAAAGGCCATTATTCGATGAAAGAACTCAAGTATCATTTCTGCAACTGTCGTCCACAAGGTGACACTAAGAAATAGCCAGCCGATCACTATAAAACAAGCGCTAACAAGGGTAGGTAAAGTGGTTTGAGACATTCAAACCAGATTCAAACTAACCTTAAAACGATTACCCAACACACACACCTCATCCAAAGATGGTCAAAGATTATACTGAATATAAAAGAAAAGAAACCAAAAAATTAAAAGAAGTTATATGAACAGACACTTGCCTTCTTGGCTTTTATGCAATTAAGTTTGAGATGATTAATTTTTTGAGTAAATGAACAAAAACTGGGCTTTACCATGGAAGAGAATCTCTTTCTTTGGGGAAATTTGCTCAAAATTCTCATTGGCTTGGAGAGCTGTATAAATTGTTAGAAGACTGTCAGAACCACCTTCCCCAAAAGAGGGCTCCAGCCCCCAAACCAGAAAAGCTACTAAAAACAGCTGCAAACCAGTTCTTTGGAGAATATTCCTGACTTAAAGGGGGAAAAAAAAAAAAGATCTTGGTGCTAAAGTATACAATTCCTGTTGTTGTTATGTGCCGTGGAGTCGGTTCCGACTCATAGCGACCCTGTACAGGGTTTCCGAGGCTGTATATCTTTACAGGAGCAGAAAGTCTCATCTTTCTCCCACAGGATAGCTGGTAGTTTCTAACTCTGCTGACCATGAGATTACCAGCCCAATTCGTAACCACTACGCTACCAGAGAGACAAGAATCTTGCTTGTAAATGGATGGATAGATCAAGCCTCCGCATTTGGAGAGGAAATCTCCATATGTAATTTTATCTTGGACATGTATCAACCACTTCAAGAGTTCAGGTTTTATACATGATGCTTGAAATTTATATCTGGATGGAGAGAAAATATTAGAATAGAAAGAAATTTTGCTTCAAATTCTAGAATTTTCTAAAATGTTGTTCAACTGTGTTCAACAGAATTTGGGTATGCCACATCTACAAGACAAAAAATGGGAGCAAGTCCCAAACACCCCTTTGCTGTTGTTGTTCAGTACCATTGATCGGATTCAGCAAACACCCCTGCTGACATGTTTTCTTAGCACTAAACCTCTACCTCCAGGCTTTTTCTGGGGTGTCACATACAGACCAGAACTGTCAGAGTGACAGAGCCCTCGGTCCACAGTCCAAAGACCAGGGGACAACTCAACCAATTCTCCAAGATGTATGCCACGATGTCACCTTCTTTGTTCAAACCCCCAAACCCAAAGCCAACTGCTATTGAGTTGGTTCCAACTCACAGAGACCTTTTGTTAGGTTTCCAAGGCTTCAAATCTTTACTGGAGCAGAAAGCGCTACCTTTCTCCCAAAGAGTGGCTGGTGGGTTTGAACTGCCAACCTTGTGGTTAGCAGTCCAGTGCTGATTCTTAAGCAACACCAGAGAGGTATTTAAAAGAGTGTATTTAAACATTGTAAATGGAAAATCATGAAGTAGAATGCCTCATTTTTCTGACCTTCCATTGGCAGTTCCATGTCTACCATTTCCCTGCTTGAGGAAGAATGATGGTGTGCTGAAAGACACAAAACAATAATGAACAAAGGCAGAAATGCAAATAGATAGAAAAAAAGAAATCATTGAATACCATACATTGAATTCAAGACCCGGGCAGGAACACATATGAAACACTTTTTTACTCTTTGAAATAAAATTCAAACAAGTGATCCTTCTATACTGACTTTTCTTTGTCCCTTTCTCTTAAAGATGTTCATTTTCACACTGGAAACTTCAAACTCATGCAAGAGCAGAGAGATGGTACAATACAGTCTACACCCTGACCCCCAGCACCAACCCCCAGAATCCTGTTTCCTCTGTGCCCATCTTATCCACCAATCCCCATGGAAGTAAATTCCAAGAATCATAGAATTAAATATGCAGCTACTTCAGTATGTTGGATGAAAAGGTAAGGACTTGTCCTTCTGTCCATCACAATTGCTGTTGTTGTTAAGTGTTGTTGAGCTGGTTCTGACTTATAGCGACCCTGTATGCGTGTGTTTCCAAGGAGCGCCTGGTGCGTTTGAACTGTTGACCTGGTGGTCCAGTGTTTATCTTACAGTGTGATTCTCTGACTCCAATATCATAATTTAAAAGCCGAAAGCCACTGTCACCGAGTCGATTCGTGCTCATAGCGACACTGTAGGTCAGAGTAGAACTGCTTCCTGCGGTTTCCAAGGCTATAAATTTACGGAAGCAGAAGGCTGCATCTTTTTCCCTCAGAGTGGCTGGTGGGTTTGAACTGTTAGCAATTGAGCACTTTAACCACTGTGCTACCACAGCACCTCTGTCCTACAGGGTCACTATGAGTTAGAATTGATTTGGTGGCATTGAGCTGGTGTTTATATCATGATTGTTGTTGTTGATAGATGCCATTGAGTCACTTCCGACTCATAGCAACTCTGGTTTCTGAGCTGTGGCTGGTGGGTTTGAACCTGTGATCTTGCAGTCCAGTGCTTATCCTACAGCGCCATGCCAGGGCTCAACTTTAAAACAACAAATTGCTGTTGTTATTAACTACTGTCAAGTCAGTTCCAACTCATAGTGATCCAGTACAGCAGGGTTGGGGAACTTTTTTCTGCCAAAATGTGTAAACAGAATGTGTGGGCCATACAAAATTATCAACTTACAAATTAACCTGCTACATTTGTTCAAACATTTAATTAGCTCACTCCTACACTTAACAACAGCAATCTGATGGAGTCCTGGTTTGGCTGTATAAAATAGCGACCCTGTATAGGGTTTCTGAGGAGCAGCTGGTGAGCTTGAACCACCGACCTTGCAGTTCAAACGGTTTTGCAGTGTGGAGCATTAACCCACAGCGCCACACCAGGACTCCTAGTATGGCCCTTAGACTCCTTTCAAACCTGGAACTGAACCCACCCCTGCAGCCAAACAGCCAAACAGGCAAAAGTGAACAATGATTTGTGAGGAAGGTGCCCCTCAGAACAAGGAACCATAGGCAGCCAAAAGGGCACTATTTGCCCCCAAACAAAGCTCAGGAGGAGGAAGGGGCAGGAAAGAAGAATGAATGGAAATGGGGAACCCAGGGAAGGAAGGAAAGAGTGCTGGTACACTGAGGGAAATGCAACAAAATGTGTACAACTTGTTGAATGAAAAATTAATTTGTTCTATAGACTTTCCCTAAACCACAATTAAAACAACAACACCCCAAATTAACCTATTACAATTTTTCATTTGGAAATACATTTCCTTCTACTTAAAAAAAAAAAAACTACTTCCTCAACTCCCTGACCCCCAACAGCAAGTTTCTTCTTTGGGGTTTGTCTGAAGTTTTCTTGATGCGTTCTGGGACAGAATAATGCCCAGGCATGGGAGAGAGTTCATTTTGATCACCGGGTCCAGGTTGTGTCTGTGTCTCCGCTGGCTGACCATTGCTTTTTCTTCTTCTTGCTGAGTCTACATCAAGTGGACAGTAATGGGCTTTGGCTTGGTTGTAACTAACAAGCGGGCTCTGGGAGGAAACTTAAAACGTGCAACTATCCTGCTCCTCATGTAAAATTCATTGTAGATTTAGCATCCACTGATGATTTCAAAATACGGAGTTTCTTAGTTCTCTAGTGCGGATATGAAAGAAACACCACAAGTGGATGGCTCTAACAAGCAGAAATTTAGGAGGCTAGAAGTGCAGGTTCAGAATACTGGGTTTTGGGGAAGGCTTTCTCATGTTGTCAGCAGTGAGGAAAAGTCCTTGTCTCCTTTCAGAATATGTAAGCCCAATGCTCCTTGGCGACTTCTGTGTGTTTTGGTATCAATTTTCCCCTGGATCCAGATGTTTCAGAGTGAAGGGACCTGGGTCCACTCCTGGCTCTGAGATCTGCTTGCTAGTCTAATCTCTTTCATAGCTCAAAAGAGATTGACTCAAGATACAATCGAATCTGGTAGACTGTATCCAGCCTCATTCATATGATGTTGTTGTTGTTGTTAAGTGCCATCGAGTCGGGTCCGACCCATAGCGACCCTGTGAGAATTTACAACACATAGGATACTTACATCAGATCAGTACTGATCACAGGACCAGATCAGTTCAAAACCAGGAGCTTTGGTGGGCCTCAACATGTGAAATATATCACAGAAAGCTGTCAGTGTCTGAAAATTAATGAATGGTTTCCAATACATGCTCGGCTGCTTTGAGTTCCAAGAATAGCATACTAAAAATTTAGTGGCAGAGAAGCTCCTTCCTACTGAAGACCTCCCCTTCTTCTGCCAAGGACCATGTTCAGCAGACTAATCTTTGTAACAGTGTTGATGGCCTCCCCGGAGGGCTTCACTAGCAGTGCAATGAGTGGGACCAAGGCAGCCAGGTTGGGACAGCATTTGGGATCTGCTGTCACTGCCCAGCCTGAGCGCTGTAACTGATTTCAACACACAGACCCAAGAACCTGTTACAAGGTTACCAGTCTTTAGGAGTCCTTGCTGATGCATCTTTGTTTCCAAAAGCTCTACTCCCAACAAAAGCAGGGAGTACTGGGTACAATCATGGCTATGGTAACTCTTAAGGAGCCCTGGTGGAACAGTGGTTAAGTGTTGGACTGCTGGCCAAATGGTTGGCGGTTCAAACCCACTAGCTGCTCCATAAGAGAGAGATGAAGAAGTGGGCTGCTTCTGTAAAGATTTGTTATTGTTGTTGTGAAGCACTATCGAGTCACTTCTGACCTTGGAAATCCTACAGAGCCATTTGACTATGTTTTGTTAGGTTGTTATGACTCAGAATGGACTTGAGGGCTATAGGTTTGTTTGGTTTTTGGTGATGGTAACTCTTCGCTTGCTAAGGAAATGCCTAATTGTTTTCAGAAGCACTGCGCGGTTGCTGTGGAAACAGTTCCATAAAAAAAACGACATAGTCAACTACCATTGGATTTAGCAATTTCACTGTTAGATATACACGCATGAGGATTGAAAACAGGCATAAATCTTGTACAAAATGTTCATAACCGCATGAGTCACTATTGCCAAGAGGTGAAATCAACACATATGTCTATGAATGGATGTGTGGGTCAACAAAATGTGGTATACCCCAAAATGGAATATTATTCAGCCGGAAAAAGAAATGAAGTACTAACATATGAGGAGACTTCAAAAAGTTCATGCAAAAAAAGAATGGAAAAAGAATGGAATTTCTCTATGAACATTTTGAAGTACTCTCATACATACATACATACATATATAT